TAGTTCCTTTAAAATATATTTATACCAACGGAATATATAGTTCCTTTAAAATATATTTATACCAACGGAATATATAGTTCCTTTAAAATATATTTATACCAACGGAATATATAGTTCCTTTAAAATATATTTATACCAACGGAATATATAGTTCCTTTAAAATATATTTATACCAACGGAATATATAGTTCCTTTAAAATATATTTATACCAACGGAATATATAGTTCCTTTAAAATATATTTATACCAACGCTTTGTTTGATTGTTAGTTATGTTTGATTCAAATAATCATAGTAACGGATAAAACCAATCCAGCCCAAATTATTGTGGAAATATAAAATTACAGCCCCAAATTTGTTGTTTAAATTAAAAATGTTTTTATTTAGCTTTGTAATGTACGAAGAAGGTAAGACTAGGTGAGGGTGGAATATTATAAAGAAATAATACAAAAAATAAATTAGAAATATAGACACTAAAAATATATATAACACTGAAAAATAGGAATAATGTACTTGTACGAGGAAAACTTTACGAAATGACTAACTGACTAATTAATAATTGGAGATTATTCGTGGGTAGTCATTGCTAGTTCCACCGTTTACCAGCACTTGGTCGTAAATTACGAGTTTAGTATTGGTAAACGGCGAGAGTAACTATGCTAAGCTAGCACTTGATAAAATTAAGCGCAATCCTGATCAAAAGTTCCACCCTCTGGAAGATAGAAATGCTTACAAATATATTAGCGCTGACAAGTTAAATGCTTACAAATATATTAGCGCTGACAAGTTAAATGCCTACAAATATAATAGTGCTTACAAGTTAAATGCTTACAAATATATTAGCGCTGACAAGTTGACTACGAGCTCCTGTTACAGCATTGTAGAGAACCAGGTTTCCAAATGAATCTATGTAGGCCAACTCGGAGTCTAAACAAATACATTTTTACAAATATATCAAATGAACATGTGGAACATTTTAAATATCTGAACAAACCGCACCTCTTAAATAGTTAAATAATGTTGTTTTTAGCACTTGAAGACTTTGGGCTGAAATATGTAAAACATAAACATATATGTATTGTTATTGAAATCCACGAGTGTCTGTACCTTAAAAAATCCGCGGACAAAAGAAATCCGGGTTTGTAATACAAGGATATACTCCTTTACCGGTCTTAGACAAGGGATAACGTTTAAAATCGTACCTACGCTTTTAATGGAGAGATTAAAAAAACCATTTATAAAAAGCTGGTTTTTGGTATGCAACAATTTTGAAAATAATAATAAATAATAAAAATAATTTGTTATTTTTTTACAAAGGAATGTCATTTACTCTGTGCCCTCGGGTTTATCATTAAATCCCTCGGGGGTTTCAATTTCGATTGTTTCTAATTTGTCTCAGAGTAAAAGATACATTTTTTATTGATAACTATTTTAATTATTATTTTTTAAAGGCTGGTTTTTGGTATTAAATAATTTTCACTGAATGCCGCTTATATAAAAACTTATCTATGCGGGTTCATGTTAAAACATGCTTATTACGAAGGAATTGCGTCATTAACTTTCAGAAAAATTGAAATAAATGGAAATTAGAACCCCCTCGGGAACAGTAATAAACATTTTCGTCGGGTTTATTATTGAATCCCTCGGGGGTTTAAATTTGACATTGGTATTTATTCTCAAGAAAATCATACAGGGTGTCCCAAAAAACGATCTTTAAGACATTGTAGCAATCGCCATGGTTCAATTTTTAAAAAATTGTACATTTTTAAAATCTTTGGAACATTTCCGATCGATTGATTTCAATTAGTCGAGGTATGTAGCACTAAAATTTAGGAAGTTTGTCATTTTGGCTTGGTTGAAAATTGAAATTGACATTATAATAGGTAAAACAAAAAATTATCACTGCATATTTACATTTTATTTCAAAATATGAAAATTATGGTTTACAATTACAAAAATGATATAGAATATTGATACAAATACATGTTTATGGTCTTTCTACTCAAAATGCCCCCAATGGTTTGCAATACATTTTTCTGCTCTATTCCTTACATCCATAACTGCTCTCCTGCACATATCAATGTCTAATCTAGCAACATGTCAAGATCTTCCACTGAATGAATTTCCAGGACTTGTCTTATTATTAACATTGAGTACTGTCCCTAGCTCCATTGCCTTTTTATAAATTTTTCTTACATGACATAAAGCAGACTGTCTTGCATTGAGAAATTTGCGCCCAAAGTCCATAATTAGACCAAGCATAAAGTTTCTGTGACCCTTTCTTTTGTGATACTTAAAAGCAAGGAAGTTTCTTTCCTGTGTTGTAAACTGAGGTCTTGCCATTATTAAACAATAATTGCGATTTTTAAGATTGTTTATAAGATTTGAATGTTTTTCAGACACTTTAAAGTTCCATAATATTTATAAAATTCTAAAAAATCAATTCATGAACTCAACTGAGCCAAAATGACAAACTTCAAACAATCAATACTTTCTTAATTTTAGTGCTACATACCTCTTATTGAAATCAATCTATCGGAAATGTTCCAAAGATTTAAAAAATGTACAATTTTTAAAAAATTGAACCATGGCGAGTGCTACAATGTCTTTAGATCTTTAGATCTTTAGATCGTTTTTTTGGGACACCCTGTACATTAAAAAAACAGGAACCAATTAAATTTGAACCTACAAAATCATTTTTTTTGATAAAGTGAAATATGTAGAAAAAGATTTACATAAAGAGAATTCCAGGTGGTAAAATAAACTTAAACAATTGAATTAATTATCCAGTTAATTCAACTATTTAAAGTAAAGCACAGTTAGGTTCAATTATCTAGATATATACGGATGTTTTTAAGCTTTCGTAAAATTAACTCTGGCTGATTTAGATTCAATTTACAAGAATCGTCTTGGCATTTATGAAAACCGATTTTAGAAATATTAATGAAAATATATTTCTATTAATATTATTTCTTACATTATAAACGCAGCATCCTAGATTGAAGTTTAAAAATCAAAGTTAGTTTAAAACAAGAACTCTCTCTGCATACGTATATAGAGAGAGTCTTCGATTTAAAACAGTTTGCAGTACACAAAGTACACGGAAACAATGGGACAGATGATAATGATAAACAAACAATATCGGGTGTTCCGAGAATATACGATATGAATATAGATCGATCATTTGCTAACTTGTATCACATCATATTGAAAAAAGATGAATAATTCTAATCTGCTTTAAACTAAGAATATTTTTTTAGACACCCGGCCATAGAGAATAGAATATATATTCTAATCTCCATGCACCCGGCATAGGGAAGAGTTTTAGGAATCCATCTGTAGATATCGTTTACACGGGAAATATGAAAATATGATATCTTAAATTGGGATCTACAATGTCCTGAAGGGACTGTATAAGATCCTAGCTTGGGAACCCAAGGTTGCCCATGTTACTTCAAGTTGCACCCGCCGTTTACCCACACTTGGTTAATTTTACGGAACATTTAAAAAAAATGAAAGTTGACCCACTTAACTTAGAATCTCAAAATCAAGCTAAGATTTTTCTTTACATGAAAAGGAAATATTTAAGAAGTGCTAATGTATCCAAGATTTAGTGGGCGATTGATTTGTGGACCTTTCCTCTCCCTGTTAATCCTGAGGGAGGGGGGGAGATGGGGGATGGTACAAATACAATATCATTGGAATCTGAAATAAAATAGCACACTACATATCTGTGCATATCTTTGTATATTATATCTATGCATAATATAATTAAACTTGATTACCCTATAATAAAATAATTTGATAGAATCAAAACAAATTGGATCTCACGCTTATACAGTTTTTATGTATATATGTATATATAAATAAGGGGGAACTGGGGAGGGAGGGTAACACCCCCGCCCCACAGTAAAAAAATTAAGTTTTATTCCTTTGTACTTATAAAAAGCTAAAGAAGCTTTTTAGAATTAATAAAATTGTTTCATTTTTTTGGAAACTTTATAATTAATACTTTTTGCAAGCTTGTAACTAAATTGTACTTTTACTACTCTACAACTGAAGATTTATTAAGAAATAAATTCTCTTACATGAAGCTGCGATGTATATATTTGTGACACTTTTAAGTGTCCTTTTTGAGAACGATAAAAATGGGGAATTTCAGAGCAACAGTTAAAAGCTAAACAAAAATAAAACATATATTTCCAGCCTGAAAACCACGTGGCATTGAGGGAACTTGTTTGAAAACATATATTTCCAATCTGAAAACCACGTGGCATTGAGGGAACTTGTTTGAAAAATAAAACATATATTTCCAACCTGAAAACCACGTGGCATTGAGGGAACTTGTTTGAAAAATCCCACTGCTAAAGTTCTGAAGGGATATACGGGCTCCTCGGATCCTAAACAAGAAAAAAAACTTATATCGAAAAAAAAATTTTAACAAAAAAATCAGAATCTTGAAATGCATTTTCTACATATAGAAATGGAGTTTTAGCCCCAATGTCGTAGACCGTAAATATTTCAAACTATGAGTTCTGTTTGAAAGAAAAAACTCAATTCCTTTATTCTGAATGTAGTTTTATGATAATTAATCATTAAATTGTATCGACATTTCAAAATACAGATAAAAGCAATATACTGCATTCAATTCATACTGCACTAAAGGAGTTGAGTTTTTGCCACAAACTCTGATTTTCTAATCTCTATATCTTTGTAACCCAATGTCGTAGACCTTAGATATTTCAAACTATTAATACTTAAAGATAAAAAAGCAAATTTTGAAATATCAAAGGTTTGCACCATCAGGTTGCAAAGATATTGGGATCAGAAGATTTGAGTTTGTGGCAAAAACTCAATTCCTTGAATAATGAATAATTTTAAACGTTTTAAATAGACATTGTTGATAATAATTGTTTTGACTTCCTACTTCCTACTTCTAAAGAAGTTAGGTACTTTCCCAAAAATACTTTCCCAGGGCAACTTTCCCAAGAGTATTTTCCCAAATGTGCAAATTTCCCTAGCGGCAACTTCCCAAGATCTGTCATAGTGTTAACGAAAAATAACTTTATCAAAAACTACTGTATTTTACTTTATTGTAAATATATTATTGTGAAAACAAATGATCTTTTTTCAAGACAAAATTTGTCGACGTCACGCAAATTTATTTGTTTATCCAAAGAGATTATTAGCAAAATAGCAAAACATTAAAGAATTCCAGGTCGGGAAAGTATAAAGACAATGTTTGCAAGAATAGAAGCGGTATTTTGCAAAAAAAAACATCATCATATATTACATATTATCAATTAGCAAAAAGGAAGAAAACAAAATTGTAAAATGGAGACGATAATCAACTTGAGTTTTTTCAGAACAGCGGCAGTTACAAATGTTTCAAAGGAATTGAATGCTCGCACTATTATACAGTGTAGCCTTAGTTTAAGAATATTGGCCTGAGACTTGTATCCGGGGACCAAAGAGATTGACTTTTTGCCATTAACTTAATTTTCATATTAAAAAATATTTATAGAATTTTTTGGATATTAATTTAGGGACAAATTGACTACTTTGTTTCTTAACCTAAACATACCTAAACATAACTGGAATCAAGGTTATAACGCAAGGAAAGTTAATGGCAGTTGCGTATACTCTGCGTACATATTAAAACCAGTTCTCTTTGGGCGGAATTTGCAAACAAGAATAGATGCATCAGTGTTCGTTTAGTATCCGAGGAGGTTAAAAGCATTACATTTTGATAATTTTGATGATTCACATAATAGTTTCCTATGACCAGAATATTTCATTGAGACGCAGCTTAAATTCATTAAATTCGGACGCTGTTTTTTCTGGAATTTATTTAAAAATGAAAAAGTCAACAATTAAAAAGCGAATTCCTTTTCATTTTCCGATCTTCTTCAAATTTATATTAAATATCCAATTTTTATTTTGAACATAAGAAGCCCAACATAGTTCAAAAATAAATTACATTTTTATGGCTTCTGTTGTTTTTATTTGGTGAGCATACACACTTCATTTTAAGCACGCAATAAAAATAAATTAAACTGAATACTCCATACACAATAAACAATAAACAGACAAGATTCTTGGATTTAATAATTTGCCACATCGATACTTGTTGCAGGGTGCCCTTTTTACTCATTTAACTAGTGTTGAAATTATGTGGATAGTCCCTTTGAAATTATGTGGATAGTCCCGTGAAATTATGTGGATAGTCCCTTGAAATTATATGGATAGTCCCTTGAAATTATGTGGATAGTCCCTTGAAATTATGTAGATAGTCCCTTGAAATTATGTGGATAGTCCCTTGAAATTTAATACAGTTAGGGCAACTAATCCTAAATATAGAATACAGGTAGGGCAACTAATCATAAATATAGAATACAGTTAGGGCAACAAATCCTAAATATAGAATACAGTTAGGGCAACTAATCCTAAATATAGAATACAGTTAAGGCAACTAATCTTGATTATAGAATACAGTTAGGGCAACTAATTCTAAATATTGAATACAGTTATGGCAACTAATCATAAATATAGAATACAGTTAGGGCAACTAACCCTAAATATAGAATACAGTTAGGGCAAATAATCTAAATATTAAATGCAGTTAGGGCTGCGAATATTGAATACAATTTTGCAATTTAAATGAAAAAAAACAATATCAAAGATAAAAATTAAATAGGAACAAATGGTGAAAAGAATTCGAATTTTCCGCTCCTAAGAACTGATGAAGATTCCACTGTTAATTGAGGAAGATGTCTGCAAAAAGTACTTTAACATTTGATATTGGCTTCCAGCACGCATACAGTCATGATTTATAGATTGATTGATGCAATGTAACATTCACTAATCTTTAGGTTTAAAATATGAAAAATATCTTAAAGCTTAAAGGTTTTGATCATCTGTAATAACTTTAATTATTAATCTTTTTTACATTAACATCGTTAAGTTGTTATTTGTGACGATTAGTTAATTATATACCTTACAGAATACAGAAAAGGACACTCGATGTCGCCTTTTCAAGATCTATGTTTGTTTCGCTCACAATAACCCTAAGGTAGAAGCCCAAAGGAATTACGCGTAGTCGGCGTAGAACAGGCTCTTTGTCAGTCTTGTAATTCTACAGAGAGAAACCCTGATCTACACCGACTACGCTGAACTTCTTTGGGCTTCTGCCTCAGGGTTATTGTGAACCAAACACACTTTAATCTTGAAAAGACGACATATAGGGTTATATCTTTTAAATTAATCATTGATGATGTCTTATTCAGTCGTTTACTACAGAAATGTTGATAACACGTTTGTAATTTATAATTGTAGCAACCTGTCCGATATATAACCTGTCCGATATATAACCTGTCCGATATATAACCTGTCCGATATATAACCTGTCCGATATATATATTACCTGTCCGATATATAACCTGTCCGATATATAACCTGTCCGATATATAACCTGTCCGATATATAACCTGTCCGATATATAACTTTAAAATGTCCAGGGTACTTTTTTTAGAAAAAAAACAAGTTAAAAATCCGTAGCAACATTTCATAATTTAAAGAAAAACTAAAACAAATAAAATTCCACTCTTTTTTGATTTTCTTAATATTTAAAATTATATAATGTTGCCCGAAAGTATTGTCTCAGTCGCCTATTTAGTCTATAGTTTACTGAAAATGTTAGATGGAAAGTAAAAATAATAGAAATAGAGAAATCCAAGTGATTTCTTGATCTCTCATAAAATTGAACCGATATTAAATATTTGGAAGGATTTATACCAGTTTACTCAATACAACCACTGTTACAGGATTTAAAGATTCGACATTTTTATCTATCTTTAAGACTATTAACAAATTTGTTTTAAAATAAAAATTTTCGGGATGTTTTGTTTTGTTTGGTATTATTTTCTAATGTTTTGTTGTGTTTTTTTTATTTTCTTGTTTTGTTCTGATTTGTTACTTGTATTGTTATGTTTTTTTGTGTTTTGGTTTTGCTTGCTGTGTAATGTTATGTTTCGGCAAGGATGTAATGCAAGGAAAGTTATTTCAGAAGTGTACACATCTTTTGTACTGCAGTGTACTGTCTCTGCGCGGTAATGTAAACACAAGACGGATGTCGAAGCCTGAAATGGGATCCATCTTTCACATAAAAAAATCAATGAAATATTCTGGTAATACCGAACTGAAGGCGTGTACTGTAGGTATATACAGTACAAAAGAATCTCGGTATTTGTACAGTCTAGGAGATTACATTTGTTTATTGTTAATTGTTTACTTAAAAATAAGTTTAATATACATGTAATATATTGTTTATACATTTTAAGTCAACACTATAAAGCCAAATTTTCATGCAAAGAATATAATTTGATTGAAGTTTACAATAAACTAGTCTTTATTCAAGTTTAATTATAATTGACGACATTGTTCTGCAATTTCCTTAACTGTAGTCATGTTGTGTGTCTGTACCAAAATAGTGTGTGTAAGGAATACCGAATTCGTTTGCAAAGCAGTGCGACTGGCTTTCTCATGCCAGACCAGCGCCATTTCCTTTCCCTTTATTTCTATTCCCTGTTATGTATGCAGTTTTTCCGTTTGTGGTTCTTGCATTAGGCAGTTCCAGCTTTACAATCATTCTATTGCTTAACTTTATGTTGATGTCGTATCAAGCACTCGGCAGTGATAACTAATAAATTTATTTAGTTGCATACAGGATGCTCCAACACACGTGGAAATCGTCTTTTATTTTAATCCACGTAAAGCACACTGCTTGTTGATATACATTAAACACCTATAAAAAAATGCGTTTGAATTAAATATGAAAATCAGTTTTTGGGAGAGCAATAATTTTTGGCCGAAAAATATACCCTGCAAAATAAGTAACGTTACTGACGTTAATTCCAACGTTACAGTAACGTAACCTAACGTTAATAACGTAATTAACGGGGGGAAATAGAAAGAAATAATTGATTCCATGTTAATCACCCATTTAACAATTCAATTATAAATTGATTAAGGGGGGGGGGATATTTGAAAAAAGGCACTATGATTGAATCGAGCAGAGGGGGGGGGGGGGATTCCTGAAATTTGTACCCCTTAGCCCTGAATTGAAATTAACAACCTTTAAATCCCTTTCAGACAATAACACGAGTTTAATGTTCAGTGGTAGATTTATTTAAATTCAAGTTTTATAAACTTATATATTCATACTATATTTATATCTATATTCTTTAAACTTCATTTTAATGTTTTACTGATCCTATAAATGAAGAATATTATTGCTAGAATGGTCCTGGTATATCCTCAAATCTTTAAGGGAACTGGTTAAATCAACATGTTGAAGTCGTTACTCCAACATTAAACAATAAAGGGAAAACTGACAATGAAACTTTAACAGAAAATGAACTTGTGGTTTAAAAGAAAATACTACTAAAGCATGTATTAAACACCAATTTGCATACCAAAAATATCAGACCGAAAATCTTTTTAAAAAGATTACAATGAAAACAATAATTTCCAAAAGACGTAATTTTTGTAGAAAATTCCAATTTAACGTAAAACAAAATTTAGAATAATATTAGAATATTAAAGAAAAAAAAAGACAACATAATAGGACAATCTAGTTACATAATTTGTTTATAATCTCTAGTTTTAATTTCTTTTATTTACACTTCATCTCCCATTCTTTCAATTTTTTTTTAAACTCTTCCTACTTTTATTCTGTTAATATAATCATGTATAACAATGAAGCCCTAGTGTGGAAAAGACCAACTCGGAAATCGATGCAGAAATGGCTTCGCATAATTAATTTCTCTTATTATTCAGGTGGGTTGGACCTTAACCACAAAGAAGCTGCCCACATAGATTCAGCCTGTTTAAAAAGTCTCATCTATTTTTAAGACAGGGTCAAATTGAAGTGACGCAACGCCTTGGGCTTTGCTTTTACTGATCTAACTCACTTATGTTTTTCTGTAGCATTTTAGCACAATGAAGAAATTGTTGTTAACTTTGGGGTTTAAGAAGTAATTGGCAAAATTCTCATAGATTTTTTCTTGAGAGCATGAAACCTTTAAATACGCCCGTGACAGCAGACGTAATTTTAATTGACATTCCCGACATGCCCGACTCAAGACAGTATCAAGACAAGATATCTGAATAATGAAAAAGATATCTGAATTATGAAAAAGATATCTGAATTATGAAAAGGATACCTGAATCTGAATAATGAAAAGAAGATATCTGAATAATGAAAAAGATATCTGAATAATGAAAAAGATATCTGAATAATGAAAAGGATATCTGAATAATGAAAAGGATATCTGAATAATGAAAAAGATATCTGAATAATGAAACGGATATTTGAATAATGAAAAAGATATCTGAATAATGATAAGGATATCTGAATAATGAAAAAGATATCTGAATGATGAAAAAGATATCTGAATAATGAAAAGGATATCTGAATAATGAAAAGGATATTTGAATAATGAAAAGGATATCTGAATAATGAAAAGGATATCTAAATAATGAAAAAGATATTTGAATAATGAAAAAGATGTCTGAATAATGAAAAGGATATCTGAATAATGAAAAAGATATCTGAATAATGAAAAAGATATCTGACTGAATAATGAAAAAGATATCTGAATAATGAAAAAGATATCTGAATAATGAAAAGGATATCTGAATAATGAAAAGGATATCTGAATAAGTTCTAAATTCTGACAATTTACTTTTTTCCTCGTTTTGCAAAAATCCCCAAGTCATTTTAATAGTGAAACTACATTTCAAAATATGTAAATTTTCAGATAGAAAAATAAGACTATTAGAAATATCAATTTTCAGATAGAAAAAGAGACAATTAGAAATATAATCTTGAAATCAAGGAGCTGAGAACCAATTTATTAATTTAAGATTTCAAGCCTCCTTAGTTTTGGTAATCCTTTCCAGCTATTAAATAGAAACTCTCTTAGTCTTCAAGGGTTTTCATTGCAATGAAACAATTTGTACTAATCCAGAAACCTTTCAAAATTCAAGGGAAAGTATTTTTGGAACTGCAAATATTTGTTTTTCGTCGAATGCTAAATTTTAAACTAAACCTTTTGCAGCGGAGTAAAACAGTTTTTTATCATTGTTTTATTTAGTTTGTGACAAACAACGGGGTTTTTATTATCAATAACAATCAGTTTCGATATATTTACATATAAATTATATCCTACAAAATTTAAATGTTGGTTAATATGAGGAATTTTAAGAAATTCTTAACGTCGAGTTTAAATGTAAAACATGTGTATAAGCTTTCTGTATCTAAGGTCGATGAAATAATAATAAAACATTTCTAAGGCTTGTCAGTTTTTCTTCAATGTATATACTTTGCTTTGTGTCTGGGTGTCTGTTCGTTTGTACTGAAGAAACGTCAAACGGCCGAACCGATCGGGTCCAAAGTTTTTGTAAAGTTTGGAAAATTCCCGAAAAAATATCATTAAACCCGCGAACTTGGTCGTTATTTCTTTTATAATGTATGCTCGATGCTCACAGATTGAAACACAATTATAAGATGAAAGAGAAAATAGAAGAGAGAACCTTGGTTAAGTAAAATTCCCTAAACTCCTTGCAAAGAAGTTGTAAATAATTATCAGATTATGAGAAATATACCCTTTAAATATCACCCAATAGTTTTAATGTTTTACATTTCTACATTTTGTTTTTAATCCTAAAACTTTAACAATGCTTTGTCAATGCATAAATCACAGAAACAGAAAATGTCAGAGAAAATAATATAATTAGGGATTTGAAGAGTTCAAGAAGTTGACCCCAAAGACCCCGGTAAAACTGACCGAGCGTTTAAACTTGTTAAGCCTCATTTAGCCTGTCATCCTAGACTATTATTCTTAAAACTATTTTTGTAAAAACATTATTTTTTTAATTTATAGAGCTCTGAAATATACACTATACACTTCTGTACAACAGTCAACAATGTTCACAGTACAGTTATATTCAGAGCTCTAAACTTAAGACAGAGTATTGGAAGGAAACCCAGTATAGGAAACCCTGCAGTTTCGTAAATGTAGTTAAGAGGAGTAAAAAGGAAACTCAACGATATACTATCGTAAATTTTCGGCTCAGTATGATTCTGTGCAGTACTATTTTGTTTTTTTAAAGTGTTGTAAAGAACAGTACAGTACACTAACCAATTTTAATGTGTTTTTTTTCCGAATTGCGGTACAATTTTTGTCGTTAAAAAATTTGGGGATGTCAGCTTTCAGGGTTTTGGAGCAATATACAAAGGAACAATCTGAATCTGATCCTACTATTTTGGAGCGAAGTACAGAGGAATAATCTGAATCTGATCCAATGGAGTAAAGTACAGAGGAACAATCTAAATCTGATCCAATGGAGCAAAGTACAGAGGAACAATCTGAATCTGATCTAATGGAGCAAAGTACAGAGGAACAATCTGAACTGGATCCAATGGAGCAAAGTACAGAGGAACAATCTGAATCTGATCCAATGGAGCAAAGTACAGAGGAATAATCTGAATCTGATCCGACTATTTTGAAAAATTTTGAAATCGAATACTCTCTGTATATAATACAAACTTTTACCCATATATTCAGTCGAGATGAAAACAAATCACATAAAAATCAACAGTTTAGTTTTTCTAGAAAGGATTTAATTAGAAAATAAAGAAAAAGTTTGACATTAATTGTTCTAAAATCTTGAGGCAGTGAAGACTAATTAAAGTTTAAGTTTGTAGTTCTGCAAAAACACGAAAGCAAACTCATGCATGCACTCGCGGATTTCTTCAGATTTCTCATTTTTTTATGATTTCTTACGCCTTTTAAAAAAATTTGTTATCAGTTTTGGGCAACTACTGATTCAAATTGCTAGAAAAAAAGGAATGGAATATATTCAAACCTTTGATTTTGATTGATCAAATAGTCAAAGTTTGAAATTTAATAGGTTTAGAGTTTACTCTTTTATAATACAGGGTGGCCCACCAAGCATGACAGTTGAGCGAAAACTTACAAATCGCCTAAGATTAGATAGCTTTCTAACGACAAAAATTGCATCAAAAAGCTAAACGCATATAAATATTTCCTTGATGTACAGCGTACCCCTGCCATGCAAAGACAATGCGCAATTTATAATTAACGGTACCTGGACTTGAAACCTTGATCTGATCAATTTTGTGGAAAATATTTTCGTTTTTCTAGATTTAAAAGTGTTCTGATAATTCCTCAGTCACCTTTTTAGAGAAACCACAATGGAAAATAATCAGTTTTAAAAATGATATTTTATTCACACTTGATCTAAGGGTCGCGTTGTGAATCGGACATTGCTATCTTTTCATAAAGGGTAACTTAAAAATTACACTTTAAACCGTCTCTCCGCTGTTTTGTTTCTTGTGACACCCTGTACCTGTAGCTATTTCTTACCGATAACAGAGAGGATGACAACAAGTGAGATACCAATCCCCTTCCAGTTTTGCTGGCTCGGTATTACCGCAACCAACTCCTGAAATATTTACAATATTTATTTCGTGAAGCCATATTTAGATTATTTACATTTATATAATAAATATTATACAGGGTGTCCCACAGCATATTAGATCGTTTATAGATAGTAATTGCGATTTTCGGGACAAATCAGAAGATTTAAAAAGATTGAACCAATAAAAAAAATTGCATAAGGCTAAAAAAAATTTGCAAGCAGAAAATTCTAGTTTTTTTCGAGCATTATGTCCGTATTTTGGCTTTAAAGCTTGGTGATAATCAAATATGCTATGGAACGCTCTGTTTATATACAGATATTCATATGTTTGCTATAGCTGGCCAAGCGGCTGGACCAAATGGGCTGACATTTTTTTAGGAAACCAGGAGTAACCGTGGAGAAGCATATACTAAAAAAGCATTTGTTTTAAAATTCTAAATTTTTTCTTCTTCAAAGAAATTCCAAGGGCAACGCCGGTCACTTACGGTAGTCTATAATTAAACAATTTTGCTATATATTTTGCATTTAGAGAGCATTACATAGGCTTCTTCTGGTTTTATATTTTATTTATTTGTATTCGGTTGTTATATCAATAGACAGGACATTCGGGTTTCCTATACGCTTACAACTAGTTAAAAAAGATTAGGGGGCAATTTTTTCATAAAAAAATAAGATTAATAAATAAATAATATTAATAGTAATAATAATAACAGGAATATTAATATGTTTAATATTATTCATAGCACGATAACTTCAAGTAAATTGAAATATAACATGTTTTTGCAGAGAATAACTCTTCTTCTTTAAAGGCATTGAGAAAAAAAAGTTTTGCATTTCTAATATGCAACCACATAAATCTGTTCTCATCATACTTAGACGTAAACTCAAAACTCTACAGGAGCTACGAGACCAGAAAATCGTATCATAATTTTGGACAGACATACAGTGTGTCCCGATATCAATGTGATCCAAGTGAGATCTACTATTTTGAATAATTGCAAATTTTCCCATTAAATTTTTTAAATTTTTATATGCTAAAAACAATGATAGATTTTTATGTAGCTGAGAAGTATCAAAATATAAAAAAAATAACATCTTGAAATGTGTTGTACCTTTTGGTACATTTAAGTTTTATTTAGATAGTTTCAATATAGTTTTATTTTTTAGTCTACGTATTAGTTGTTATTCTGACGCCAGCTGTGTTAGAATAACAGATATATTGATAAACTATTTATTTTTCAAACTAGTATGACATACATTAATACAGCAGTAGGATAGAAAGGGACTTTAAAGGGACTATTTTTGTAATTTATGTGACCCAACAACGGTTCCCTTTAAACTATTATATAAGCAATATTATGAAATAAATCGTCCCTATTAGTTCTCTCTGTTAAATTCTCTCAATTATCAGAAATCTGAAAACCACAGTAATCAATTTTAAAGTTTAAATAAGATATATCATTCATTCTACACCATACAAAGCATTTTAGGGTACCGTTGTGCATAAGACATCCCACTGGAGAATGTTGCAGTTTCATACAGTGGTAAGCGAATATATCAATATAATGAAGACTACGTTTTATATAAGTTTTGATGGTTACCAAGCTTTTTACGAATTACAAGTTCACAAGTAATCATAGAGAAGATTTTTTTAACTGACAGCTTCTCTTGACTTCTATTTAGTCATGTATCCATGCAGTCTAACAGCTTTGTATGAACCAAAATTGAAATAAAAAGTCGTCTTCATTGTATTGATATATCGCTTACCGCTTTACTAGAACTAAGGAAGCCTGTGCAATAAGTATTAAGTAACATATTTCTCTCACATCTTTATATTCTCTAAATTGCCTTTTTATGTAATATTATCACAATTTTGAGAAACTGATTTGAGTGTGTTTTTGCATTCATGATTTGACCGGTGGCAGTTTTTACGACTAACAGCCGGCCACACATGTTTGCAAACATGCTGGAACTTGAAAGTAAACTAAAATTATATTAACCTTCTGATTTTGAAAATTGAAAATGCGCGCCATGAATTCCTAATATAAAATGAGATTGAGTTGGAACTCCGGCAGAAATAAATAAATTATTAAGATGGGATGAAGAGAAGAAGAAAAATGAGGAGGAGGAGGAGGAGAGGAGGAGGAGTAAATTACGAATTTTTCTTGAAAAAAACTAACAATAAAATATCCAAAAACGCGTGGATTGTATAGATTGTCACTTATGGGCAATTGCAGTAAAGAGAGTTCTATTCTAGCTTTTGCACAGTTCACGGTAAAATATCTAGTTCTAGTATTTGCACAGTTCACGGTAAACTATCTAGTTCTAGTATTTGTACAGTTCACGCTAAACTATCTAGTATCTAGTTCTAGTATTTGCACAGTTCACGCTAAACTATCCAGTTCTAGTATTTGCATAGTTCACGCTAAACTATCTAGTTCTAGTATTTGCACAGTTCACGCTAAACTATCTAGTTCTAGTATTTGCACAGTTAAACTATCTAGTTCTAGTATTTGCATAGTTCACGGTAAACCATCTAGTTCTAGTATTTGCACAGTTCACGGTAAACTATCTAGTTCTAGTATTTGTACAGTTCACGCTAAACTATCTTGTTCTACCATGTTTTAAACATCTGCATATTATTTTATCAAATTTTTAGTTATTTTGTTAAACGGGCGAAAATTCGATCAAATTCAAATTCAAGTCAACAAAAAAAGACTATAAAAATTCTGAACCTATTTATTCACGGAAGAAAAATAAAGAGTTTATTTAATAACATTTAAAAAACCATTATTATAATCAAGTCTAAGTAAATAATAAATAATTCTGTTTGAGGAGAAGAAAAAGGGAAAATCTTAACACAAGCGTAATGATTCATGTGAGTCTAATATGATTGATCCACCATCCTATTCGTTTTCCTCCAAAAAGCAAAAATAACTGTTTCCCACCCATTCTCCAACAAAAAAAAATAACATCCCCCTCCCGTGAGTAAAAATAGCTANTTAGTGATGAAAAGAATATGTAAGGAAATACTTAATTATAAATATTTTAACTACAAATATCCAAAAATATCTTTAGGTCTTCATTGTTTAAATTAAGAATACAAAGGGGGGTGAGCCGAAAAACGACATGAAAAACTTCAGAAAATTACAATTTGTTGAAAGAAACAACTGCTTCAAATACATTGCTATCCAAAGAACTGTAGAATAGGAAGACGACATTAAAGCAATACTAAAGTGCATTTGGTAATATTACAAAGCAAATAGCTTTACATAGTAAGTTATTAAATCTCTTATATATTGAAATGGGTCTGTTTATACTGCACATTTGCAGTGCCTCATGTTTATTCTAGTATTTAAGGTCATAACTTTAGTCTAAAACTTGTCTTCCTGTTCCAGAGATTTCTGGTTATCACTGTAGATAGATCTGAACCAGGATGTATACACTGCCAGAGTACCTTGATGGAAATATGAATTTATAAACTCTTTGCAAGGCAGCAAATAAGCGTCATTTAAACAATTATTTAAAAAAAAAACTTCTTTGTAATTTCAATCTACTCATTATTATTTCAAAATATAGTGTATTATATTGAATGTTTAAAGATTTGTAAAATAACTTTAATAAACCCTTACAAAATTAAAAACTACATGTTGAACTAATTTTTGAGCCTTTCTAAGGGATTTTAAGAGCTTGAAAACCCTGAGAATCCTGATTTTTGGGAAACCCTATTCAGTAATTTTAGACACTGCTTAGACACGTCCTCTGAAAGATATATTTGAATAATACTGTCAAACAATTTCAGTTTTTAATTGTTTAAAAAATAAAATAAAGGTGTTATTCTGTCTAGATAATAAATTTCTTAAACTGATATTTTCAGAAAGAATAATTTCTTGTTTCTAAGGGTATGTAGTAGCTATGATAATTTCTAAATTCCAAAGTCAAGATATTAATTTCTAGATTTTTCGGTCTAGATAATAATTTCTAAATAGTAATGTCTAGATAATTATTTCTAGATAATTGTGTATAGATTCTAATGTCTAGATAATAATTTCTAGATTATATTGTCTAGATAATAATCTCTAGATTCTAATTTCTAGAAAATAATATTCTAATGTCTAGATAATAATTTCTAGACTGAGATAATGATTTCCAATATCCTGATATGATCTGCAAGTCATACTATAACACACTATCTCCAGATTAAAGGATACACCTTGAGAGTAAAGATAAGTTTCACAGATTACAAAAATATAAATCTTTTTTAAATTCAACCCCTTCCATGGTTCAGGTTGTGATTATTCCCGATAAAATCAGCTATTAATGTACTTGGTTGTGAGAAAAAATCAAAACTGGCTTTTAATGCATTGTGCAGTGCATGTAAAAAATAGACAAAATCAACAATTTAATGCACTGTGTGCGGCTTCAGAAAAAGACAAAATCAACGTTAAATGCACTGTGTGAAGGTAGTAAAAGGATTCTATAGGAAAAATAGAAGAAATAAAAACAAAAATGTTTGGTTTTCGCCGGGTTAGTCCAGAGTCCAAAACTAAAGAACGAAAAGTTTTGACTTAAATTTTAAGTTCATGATTAAATGCCACTTCTGACTTAATTTAAACCTGAACTTTAATCGTGGAGTTAAATATTTAACCCTGTGGTTAAATATTTAACCACAGGTTTAAAATCTTGAAATTCTGCATTTTCCCTATTTGTCTATTATTCAATCATCATTCAGCTGCAGCTGAGAAAGCGGCATTCAACTTAACGATATATTTAAAAGTGAAAACCTTGTTAAAGAAATTTCACGTTTTAGATAAACAGCTGATTAGCGATGGTTATGTAATACTCTCCGTAAATCCTTTTCTCTGATTGGTTCAGATTTTCCCGGGAAATTCAAATTTAAAATTGAGAAAGTTAAATATTTAATTAGCTATTCATTATTTTACAAAACTTTTAACCTCGAACTTAAAATTCGCGCATTCTTTAGTTTTAGACTCAGGTATTCCAGATTGTGGAATTATTTTTAC